CTCATCCATGGGGAGTAGAAGTTGTACTTAGCATTGCCTGGGGAGTTTCGCAACCTTTGATGCTTGTGAGAATGGATTAAGGGGACTTTTGGGACCACAATCATTACTTTTACAGTAATTTCAGTTGCTGTCAACAGGCGAGGTTGGGGTTCAACCCGGGCAGTCGGGCAGTTGGCCAGTTCATTTCAGGGCTGCATATAAAAACAAACTCAATCCCCTAAATGTCCGAGCTGAGATGCAATGGAATTCCATTGTATCCGATGAAACATTTGAAATGTGGCTCCACAGCCTCCTGCTAACACGGAGCTGCTCCTCACACTGTGAAGACGTTGTGTGAATGGTGAGAAGTACTGTAAATAGATGACTGTGTGTCTGTGGTGTAAATGGTGTGTCAGGGGCTTTACATCAAGACCATAAAAGACGAGGTCATTTAAACTACATCCATTTTTTATACAGGATCAATGAAAGCAACCTCTCTGGAATTTATAAACTCTAATGCACATTATAAAGTAACCATAATGATGTGTAGAGGCTCAGGTCTCACTGGGGGGTTTGCTGCAGTGCACATATTTGAAGTCATGAATCTAATACATTTAATAAACCAATACATTTATTAGATTATTGATAAAAACTGTTGTTGTTTATAGACTGAAGCTCACGTTGAATTGGAAAAAAGGACAATAAAAGCAGTAATAAACACAGGACCATTCTCCACTCAGAACAACCTTTACTGACGTCATAATTCAGTGGGTCCACACTGGAGCAGTGGGTAGTGCCTTTGAATTTATTGTCAGTGATGCGCACCACACCACCACACAATGAAATTGGTCCTCTGCTTTTGACCCATCACTATAGAGAGCAGGGGGCACCTTAAGCTGACCGTCTGAGGAGCAGTGTGTAGGGACGGTGCCATGCTCAGTGCACCTCTGTGGCACCTGGTGACTGGTGGATTTGAACCCTCGACATTCCGGACACAAGTCCTTTGCTACTTCCACCACCAGGCCACAACTGCCCTCAGCATGAAGGTCAACAGTGTAAGCCCCAGCAATAAATGTTGCTCCTTCTGTATAGAGTTTCCTGCAGAGGTGTATGAGGTTGATGGTTTGATTCCTAGTCATTCACTGTAGACACTGTGTTTCTCTGTTTCTACACTGGTTTTCACCACACTGAAAGCCTGATGGTTATCTTTAGCTCAACCATAGGTGTGAATGTCTGTGCTGTAAAGATTTCTTGGATGAATAATCAGAACCACATTAAAAAATGCTGCCTCCAGTGGACACTGTCACTGGCTGATTTTATGTGTTTATAAATAAATGCTGATGATGCACTAAGATAAACACTTGACATGTTGGTCTTTAACAGTATTTTTCTATCTATAGTAAAGCTCTTTCTCGTGGGTCAAAGTCCCAGGCAGCTCCTCACAGGCAGTGCTCAACATAAGGACCTCTGCTCTGATCTGGTCTCTTTCAGAATATGTAAATATGTGAACTCTTCAGGAGAAATACTCTCTGATTGAGTTTTATTGTGTATATTTTCCTACTGCAGTAGTCTGTTCTTCATGAAGACACAGCCGTAGCTGACATATATTAACTGTACCACATATATGTGGGCGGGAGAGTCTGTGGTAATGTTTATGCTCTTCTCATGAGGAAATAAAAAAACTGTAGTGGCTAAAGTAGACTGTAGACTAAAAATATATATGCATACAATCTATACTGTATATATGAATACTAGATTTTGAGATGATAAATGATGATATTGTATATATGTATGATACCAAACTCATTTCTTGGACACTGGCTTCTTCTGTAATTCTGTAGACAATATGTATGAGGCCTGCACTGTATTTATTTAAAGCTTGGGTTTCTTTTTTTTTTACTGCTTTATTTTTGCTCAATATTATTTCATGTAGGAAAAAGCACTCTCTGCATTTTGTCCATCTGTGAGACGCTCCAGTGATTACAGTAACATCACGCACTGGAGCAGTGGGCTGCTCTGTGGTAATGATGGGGAGGAGTTGATGCTCACAACAAACCCAAGCTGGAGGAGTGGATTTTGTTTTGTGAGTTTTTTAAGTCAGAAGAAAAGACAGAATTTCTGTTTTGACAAAAACTATTACCTGGAAACATCGCATGAAAATAATTCCAAAGCTGTTTGCCTTCATAAAAAACAGTCGCCGACAACATAGCGAGAAAATAACTAAGAAGGAAACTAGAACATTAATTTAACAGCACCTGAAAACAAACGAACCAAATTAATTAATTGGATAATTAATGTAATCACACCATGATGAACTAACAAGTTAGATATTGTATTTGATTAGATTTCTTAATGACGAAACAGAAAAGCTCTTCTAAATTTTTACAGCTGTTTTGCAGCATATTTATGAGAAATATGTTCAGTTTCCAACAGGAGAGAAGGAGATGAGTTCTGCTAGAAGTTTATAATGACCCCAGATGGAGGCTCACAGATGGCTGTAGAATTCAATTCTCAGAAGTTTGATTATGACACTAAAGACGTTCCTCAGATCTGTGCCGGAGTGACATTTTAAATTATTACCAATACGAGTTTCAACATCCACATCCACAACGTTCTCTTCTTTTTTTCTCTCTGTGAGAGATGAGCAAACAGAAGGAGCCTGGAGGAACATCACGGCTGCTGCTGTAACTTCACAAGAGTGAAACCAACTGATGAGGGCTTTGAATGTATTTACTGACTGTGGGTTTTTAATTAAAAGCTTGTGACCGTGCAGTGTCTCATTAACCACCTGTTGTTTTTGACATTAATTAATTTTCTGTTGTTTTTTACATGCTGTGGCTGTGCTTCTCTGCATTTTCAATTTGAACTTTTTAAAAATTTATTTATGGTGGAATTGACTTTTGGCACACAGTGGTGTGTAAAACCTGTCTCCTCCAGAGACAGCGTAGGATTGAAACAGCACCTCTACCTGAAGACTCAGACCTGGTCTGATTGTCAGTCATCATAAGAAGGTGTCAGATAGTTGTAGAAAAAGATAAGAGAAAATGGGAGGAGGGGGGTATTCTTTTGGACACATTTGCTCCAATGGTATTTTATAAGGTATTTTATTAGCCATGTGTCTGTAATGCTCATGTTAATCCAAGGAGCTAGGGAATAATTTATGTCTCTGTGGAGGCTGCACAAAACACAAAACCTGTGTGTGTGTGTGTGTGTGTGTGTGTGTGTGGATAAAGTGCACTCTAACATGATCCAATTCTCCTTATTTTCTGCCTGCAGTCACAGTTCAGTCTCCACTTTCTTTTCATTACTGCTGCACTGAAGCAGCACCAGTGAGCAGTCAGAGGGAGGAGGTGACAGTCACACCTCTGCAACTGAGTGATTATAATTACAGCCTCCGTCTGCTCTGCATGTGTACAGGACAATTGTATTATCTTTTCTTCTTATAGCTATATACTGTACATAGAGTGGGAGATTACAGACCAATTTTCCAGGTCCCAGGTTTATATAGACCAGTCTAACTTGTGTCGTTATTTTTTTGTGATTGTGAGTCATGTACTTTTTCCAGCATATTTGACTGTAGCTTGTGGCAGGAAGCAGGGAGTTATCGTTAATGTTCTGTTCGTTATGGTGCATCCCTAAATTTTATCATTAGGATTTATAGCTGTTCTTTTATAATGATCCATAATATAAATGACATCCTTGCAACCACTGTGTGACACTGTAACTAAACCTTTTGAACACACCGTTGAAAGCTTTACTTTTATTGACTACTCAGAGTGATGGATTGAAGCCATCCCTTCTTGGTCCAGCATTATTACAATCAGTCAGTCATGCTCGAACATCGTCCATCCATGAGAAAATTAAGGCAGAAGTTCTCCAGCATGACGACAGAGCGCTGACTCTACAAAATCCACATATGTAACTGCCTTGGCAGGAGAGTCTCACCCAGTCAGAGTGTGATGAGCTCAGATGTCAGAGCAGAGTCAAGGTTAGATCCACAACATAAATATTTAACATTACAGGAAACTGACAAACAAAAAAGTCATTAAAAGTATATGTAATGAAATATAATATGTCCTGTTCTGTTGTACTCTTGATCTACTCGCCGGAATTGACGAAAAGCAGTCACCCTTTTATAGTTCTTATGAGTTACGCTGCCACCATGTGCTGCCGCCTGGTGGAAAAATGTATGTAGACAACGCTAGTTACAGTTAACTGTCACAGTTACACTTGTAATGGTAGGTGTACTGATAATGTTAATCTATAATAGGGATTTAACAGTACATTTATTTGTCAGTTAGCACAAATACACAGGTGAACGGTACACCTGTGTGACAATATGTTTTCAAAGCGTGTCAAGGAGAAACTTGTTAACGCAGAGCGGAACCAAGTCCAACTTCCGCCGGAACGCAATTGTGACAGGACACAGTCACTGTTTGTTCACGTCCGTACAGTTGTTGTTACATACAAATCAGAACTAAAAAGTCAAACTGTGAGTGAAACTGGCGAAGCAGGACCGTCACTTTGACGAGGATTGAAGCTCATGTCTGGGTTTTTTCCTCCCGAATTGTTTTTTGGTGAGCGTTACGTTGTTTATTTGTTATTTTACTTTACCTGCGCGGGAGATGAGAGACGAGGCGTTACATATGTGTGCATATATCTATAAATATGCAAATATATGTAGCTTCTATCTATATATATCCTTACAGTATGTTACAGCTGAGTTGCCTGTTGTGGTTGTTACACTTACTGTTTTGTGTAAATTCTGTATATATTCTGTATGTTTTTAGTGAATACATTACATTTCATACATTACTGCTAATGCTCCAGACGTCAGCGTTCTCCTGCATCTGTTAGGTTTTCATGACGTCACATTCTTCTCTTCTCTCCACAGATGCACTGCCTGAATCCACCACTGAAA